TTTTCACACGTATTCACTTTCAAATAAGCTCTAATATATTAAAAGGATAAAACTGTAACCCCCCAAAATTTGACAAGTGATAATGAGACATGGAGAAATTGAATGGGTTAAAAAGCATAAAAATAATGCTCACTGAGGCTTCAAATGAAGAAAGTAAAATAGTATTTCCCTTACATATTAAACTTGTTGCTGTGGATGCTAATCATAGAGACTCTCTGCCTACAACTTTCTGGGTTTGCATCTGTTTGTCACTTCAACTAGCAACCCACCAAAGTCAAATACTTAGAAGAATAACTCCAAAAATTAATTAGAGATAATTTCATTTGATTTTAGTGAGTATTCTCCAATCCTTCCAGTACACTTCAATTCATCAAGAAATCAAATATTCAGCAAATGTTCTGTATTCCTCAGATCTACCAAGACTAAATGACAGGTATGCAGAGTTCTACACCTAGTGCCTCTACCCACTAATATGCAACTTTGATCACGTCACATCCTTTCTTTAGGTCCTAGTTTATCTATAAAAGACAGACTAGGGTTCTAATGGCTTATAAGCTCCTATACCCTGTGATTCTGTTTGACAAAGGATAACTACACTTTCCACCTGAAACCCATTTTAACCCCAATGTTAGAAACAGCACTGACTAGTCCACACACAACTTTTAATGTTACTATATTTTAATAATACTGTTTTAACTCTTGATACCATGAGACATTTGTGAAAACTAGAATTCACAAAAAATGTAAATACCACTAATGTGTTGCTTTAGGAAGATACATGTACACATCCTCAAAAGTAGGGTAAAAACCCTACCTCTGAAAAAAAGCAGAAATAAAGAAGGAAGCAATATATCAGTATGTAGAAAACATCCTTTGGATATAACATAAAGACTGCCAGGGCCATAAAGTTACCAAGGATCTGTCTCAATGCTACCTCCTGACAACACAAAATTTTTAAGAATTTGTAAATACAGCAAATATGTTTAAAAAACATTTTAATCCCACCATTCTCTGTTTTAACTTCAAGAATTTATTTCTGTGGAAAAAAATGGATAGCCCAGCTGTTATAAAATAATACTATTAAGAGGAAGCATTATATGGGAATTTCCATGTCATTGTATCACTGGCTCAAAAAGCTATACAATGGTGTTGTTCTTGACTATTATTCACCAAATAGCAGTTTAATTTGAAAGATCCCAAAGACGCCAAGAAGCGCGAAAATCCATACATACAGGTAGTACCCACAAAATGCTAAAATTTAACTAAAATGGTTAAATGTTTTCATTTCTGTGGATAGCTTTTTTTTTTTTTTTTGGTGCCAGGGAATTAACTCGGGGCACTAGACCACTGAGCCACATTCCCAGCCCCCTATTTTGTATTTTACTTAGAGACAGGGTCTCATGAGTTGCTTAATGCCTTGCCATTGCTGAGGCTGAATTTGAACTCGCAACCTTCCTGTCTCAGCCTCCAAAGCCCTGGGATCACAGGCGTGCACCATCGCACATAGCCTGTGTATAGCTTTCTAAGTGGTATTACAGAGGAACTGAGGAATAGATTTTTCAGAATTAAAATATGAAACTTTTGACACTGAAGTAGCTTTCTGCTCTGCTCTATAGATCCTTACCATTCCTAAAACAAACTCTTGTCAGAAAAAATATATAACCTTTTTACTGATTAGGAAGTTTTAAGATTTTAGCCTATGAATATACCACTTGAGGATAGCCTGTAAAATTTCCCTCACCAGTTCCTAAATTCACAAAATCTCTTAATAGCTCAAATACATTTTGATCAATAAAATACTTAGAAATCTCAGATGCAAATTAAATGAAATAAAATTTCTCGGTGATCACTCAGAATCCAATCTTTCTCAGAATGGAAAGACTGTTATAAAATGGTATTTACTGAAAAAGACATCCTGTCCTTGAAGGAATGTACCCTTTGTCTTGGTTACTCCATGAACTTTAATACACTAAGTTCCTTCTGCAGCTGAAAAACAACCAGGGTATATGAAGTGGAAGCCTTTTCTATATTCCAAACTGAGAAGCTGATACTCTGCTAAGGACTTAATTTCCTATAACCAAACACCACAATGGTAGATATTAGTCATAACTTGAACTTATTTGAGTAAGGGAATATAACCTCAGATAAAGACCATGTTCTTTTAGTCAAGTGCAGTGGTACATGAATGCAGGAGGCTGAGGTAGGAGGATCACAAGTCTGAGGCCAGCTTAGTGAGGCCCTAAGAAATTTAAATGAGACCCTATCTCAAAATAAAAAATAAAAAGGATGTTTGGCTTGGTGGCGCACACTTGTAATCCCAGCGGCTTGGGAGGCTGAAGCAGGAGGATCCCCCAAGTTCAAAGCCAGCCTCAATAATGGTGAGGCGCTGAGACCCTGTCTCTAAATAAAATACAAAAAAGGGCTGGGGAAGTGGCTCAGTGGTTGAGTGTCCCTGAATTCAATTCCCAGCATCCCCTCAAAAATGAAAAATAAAATAAATAAAAAGGGCTAGAGATGTAGCACAGTGATAAAGCACACTGGGTTCAATTCCCAGTACCAGTACCCAAAATATAATACTACTTTAAACCTATTTTAATAACAAAACCACAATAATACCATTAGTGGTTTCTTACCCTATCCTTCAAATAGGAATAGAACCTGGATAGAAATGCCACAGGGCATTGAAAAACATAAAGAAGTCTAGTTTTCACCAGTGGAAACATGGTGATTCAGGTCGTATTCAAGGAAAGAAACAAAAAACATTTCACTAACCATATCATCAAAGGCAACTTCTAAGACTCATTTTAGGACAGTGGAACTTATAAGATCTGCTGAGTACAGTGACATACGCCTGTAATATCAGCTACTCAGGAGGCAGGACATTGCAAATTCAAGGCCAGTTTGGGCAGTGAGACCTTGTCTCCAAAAAAAAAAACACAAAACAAAACAAAAGCCAGGCACAGTGGCACAAGTTGATAATACCAGCAGCTCAGGAGGCTGAGGTAGGAGGATCACAGGTTTGAAATCAGCCTTAGCAACTTAGAGACCCTGTCTCAAAATTTAAAAAAAGGGGGTCTGGGGTTGTGGCTCAGAGGTAGAATGCTCCCCTAGCACAGGTGAAACCCTGGGTTCAATCCTCAGTACCACATAAATGTAAATAAGTAAAATAAGGTATTGTGTCTAACTACAACTAAAAAATAAATATTTTAAAAAGCGGGGGGCCACTATGAATGTAGTTCAGTGGTAGAGTATTTGCCCAGCATATGGAAGGCCCTGATTTCAATCCCTAGCACTGAAAAAGAGAAAGAAAAAGATCCTACAATTCAATGTTGAAATGAGCAGTAAGAGACATGAAGAAATAGGCAAGAAGAGTTCTAGTCAAGGGTCATTTCAATGTAATGATGTCAGGGCAGTTTCTTACAAGGATAACTGAAGAGCAATGTGATGCTTTCCTAAATGAACACACTGGCATTTAAACATGTGCCTGAATGCTGTTCTTTTCAACAAAGTCCACAGGAAACTGCACACTTACATTTAAAATGTTGCCATTGCACAAAAGTTTATGCATTTTTCTAGAATTGCTTTATTCATTCTTCTGAATGTACAGCAGTGGGATGTGGATTGTGTCCTAACTTCAATTTATGTTTGCTCATGATTGGAAGCAGCTTATACTAAAAACATTTATGCTTATATACATAAAAGAATCATGGCTTCCTTGGACAATGTGACTAAAGGAAACATTTAAATATTTTTGTTTTAAACATGCATGCACATATGTGTGCACACACACACAAAAATACATATACATATATACACCTTATAGGTACAACTCATACTCGGGGAAGAGGGGAGTCAAACTCCATATCTTAAACATCATTTGCCCACTTTTCATCCCCAATGTTTCTGACAGCACAGATAACTTCAATTATGGCTCTGAAGTGGATGGGCTTAGTGATGGCCCTAGAGATTGACAGAGTACATAAACTTGACCCCTCATATTATACAGCTGCCCCAACACACAAGAGCAACTTTTCAATCCCATATTCTTACTCCACAGAACCTCTCAAAACGCGTCACAATGGAAATCAAGTACATGTAAGAGTACCCTTCGGTCTTCTTGATCTTTCGCTAAATGACATGTACATACATTAAATAATCTGGCAAAAATGAGTACCCATCAGAGTCTAACTATTACTTTTTAGTATACCCTATAAAACATTATCAAACCTCACAATCAGTTACCTGAAGGAAAATTTACCTATTTCTTGATGCTTACTAAGATCATGCTTAATCTGAGAGATAACAAAAGACATGTCACCAAACTGCTAAACCGAACATTAGGACAGTTTTTGTTCCAATTCTCATTTTAGTGATTAGAACTGCAGTCTTCTGTTGCTCCAAATTTTACTTTTACTAGCTGATAATAAACAAGGGCTAACTGGCTTCCTAATAAGATCCCCCCCCCCCCCCGCACTAATGGCTAACTATCCATTCCACCTGAAACTTTATTACCAAAGAAGAAGAAATAAGTGATAATTCACTGAAGGAGTCTCCTTTTATTTGGACTTCAAAGTTATCTCTGAAGCCACTCTAGTTTTTAACAAATTTTTTTTCTGGAATAACTCAGAACCAAAAGTAACAAACACAAAAATCACAGAGCCTTTGGATTGATGGAAATCTCCCATTAAAAGACTTACTTTCCTTTGAATACCTATTTATTTTGGGACAAATGGAACCATTTTGGTATTAGTTTTGGGAATCCCTAATTTATACTTCAGAACAAGGATGTTCTTGAGCTAACATGCTCAGATTTGAGATTAGTCTGCATATTTTCTCAAAAGTTCACAGGAAAATGGGGTGGGAAGAGGAAAGGAGTGACATCCGACAAAAGATACATAAAATAGTTTGCACTGCTCATTCTAGAAGGTGGCAAGAGCAGCTTATGTCCTTTTGACCTGTGGAAAAAAAAATATTTGCAATGCCACTCGTAAGACACTCACCTTGAGAATTTTTACAACCACTCTTTCATTGTTGGTGATGTTGATGGCCTCAAATACTTCACTATACTTCCCACGACCAAGTTTTCGAACAAGTTGGTAATCATCTTGATTACTGTGGAAGGCAAGAGACACAAATAAATGCCAGGATTTGGGATTAACTAACCCTGTGCCCACTGTACACCCAGTCTAAATGTTTCCACTAATCAAACATTTGGAAGTGTCCATATATCATGCCACAATTCATTCCCTAAATGAAAGCCACGGCATAAACCCGGCTCCCTTCATCCTGCAGAGCTCCCAACCTAACTGACCCTCCCAAGGAGGAGATGGGAGCAGGAAGACAGCACTGAGCCAATCTAGGGGGTCAAGTAAAGCATCCACCTGGAGGCCCAGAGGGTGCCCGCTCTTTCCGTGGCTCCACCAGCACCTGCCTATTCCACATCCTTAAGGCAGACAGTGAATCTGGACGTCTTTAAAAATTTTCCTCCCACCCAGCCTCATTTCAGAAAACTAAAAAGGCAGGGAATTTTAATAGCTCAAGGGGACAGCTGTTGACTTCCCACCCCAATAGAAACCCAAAAGTGTGAGGAGGAGGAAGAACTGCTCCCTCACTCCCAGGACCCTACACTTCTCCTCGACCCCCGCACCCCCACAAAGCAAAAAAAAAAAAAAAA